AAATGCTAATTTACAATGAAAAGGGGTAATGAGGCAAGATCAACACCTATAGATGAATGGATCCAAGATGCAGCCAATATTGAATCTCATAGCCATGATGATACTTGGATAGGAGAGGTGATTTCCAGAGGCTTGAAAAAAAATTCAAAATGTCATATGTTTTCATTGTGGTAAACCAGGTCACATAAAAAGGGATTGTGGGCAGGGCGTTCCTAGAAACATTTTTTCTAAGAATAATCAAAACAGAAGGCCTGTGCCTTCTGGAGTATTCAGAAGGTACAACAAAGGCCAATATTGGACCAATGAATGCAGATCAACAAGGGACAGGCAAGGTAACCCTTTGTCATCAGGAAATGACTTGCAGGCCCCCATGTCAAATTTAGTTCAGTCATTTCCTGTCATCATAGGGGAAACTCCTCTCCAGAGTACTTAAAGGATCTAATGCCTATTGTAAAAACAAAACAAAACAAAAACATATTGCTCTGGATAACAGAACAATTTTAGAAGATAAATCAAAAATTTCCAGAGATAACATATAGGAAATGTTTTGGCAAACTCCTATAAATTATCAAAGACCAAAGATAAAAATGCAAATAAATGACATTGTACAGTTAAAAAAAAGCTATGGATGCTATCAGCACTGATAAAGATTAGATTAGAGGAAAGACCTCTTGGTTAGAAGAGGTGATAATTTATTAAACAGCATGACCATCCAATCTAAAGTAACTTATAACACTAACAAATGTTTTTCATTTTATCAGATATAATTTGCCAAAAGGGAAACTCTCCAAAGATAGGGTTGGGGCAGGGTTTCACTTTTGCCTTTCTAGGAGAATGAAGGCCCAAACTAAGGAAACTGAAGACCACTGGATAAAAGAGACATCTGAAGAAAAATGATGAATCATCCAGAGAAAATGTCTGAAAGAAAAAAGTAAATTGGTTTTTTGGTATATCATAATTCCAATAGGATAAAATTTCATAAATCTTCTCAAATGTTTGTTTCTGCTGCTCTCTACAGACATATAATGCAAATAATCATTTTGAAGTCACAGATTAATTAATTAAAACTGATTTTGGAGTTGGAACATGGTACTCTTCTCTAAACCCTAGCATGCTTGTTAAAAGGAAAATCTAAAATCTGTCTCATGTCAGAAAAGCCACCAGATATGGGACAGAAGAAAAACCAAAATTAAGGAACTATTCTATTGTCACTAATTTCATAGTACTTTGGTATTATTTTGACTCAATAAAACTCAATAAAATTAAGGTATAAATATTATGTCAAAATTTATAAAATTTATATTTTACACTTTTTGTCATGATATTAATGGTCATAAAGAGTACTACCTAATTTTAGAAAAAAGGCTTCACCTAGCTTCCTGCTCATAATTTCTGATTTGAATCTCTACCAGGAAACTAGAAATCAAGTTTTTCACTCTGGATGTACATAACAAATTTTAGTCATTTAACTTCTTTGAGATATGCTACATATAACCTTTAAAAGTGAACTATGACCATGTCTAATACAGACCTTTGAAGTCACCAAAGGAGTATGAGGCCTTGCAAAGATGATTCCACCTGGATTGTGGTAACACCACTAAGCTGACAAATGTCACCCAAAGATCAGCTTTGGACTACAGAATGCTCAGGACAATTTCAAGGTAGCTAGCTGAGATGGTTGAGCCTCACAGACTACTTTAGCCAGGACTTGAGATAAGCCCTGCACTTTCCCATTAAACAGGAGACTGGAAAACAAATTATACAGCTCACTCTCCCAAAACTTGACAATTATTCAGGGTCCCATAAAGATGCTGCCATCTCCAGAGAGCAGGAAGTAATTTTAAGAACACAACACTCACATTCCCAATAGGTGGGGTGGGCAGGTTTTGGTCATTCAGTAGGTTATGAATATTTGCCATTAATTAGGTGGTTTGGTTACAAGTTTTTATTGGTAATTATCAGGAAAAAATTGAACAAAAGATATTAGATTCATGGATCTCATTCTAAAAAATAAAAGGAGGGCTATAGATATTATAAGATAAAATGCAGATTATTGAATCTCAAAGCCAAAAAAGCATACTACTCTTAAATATTTTACAATGGTATAGGTTTTTGTACAATAATACAAATCTGAAGCTATCTTTGATACACTATATATAAGTTTCTACTCTTATTAAAGACATGTTTATATATTGATAGAAGCTTAAGGTTGTTTTGTGTAGAAAATATTGTACATAGATTCCTACTCTTGTTCAGTGTATTTCACCTATACAGCTCATCTAACAATGTAATATAAATTTCTGATCCTCAAAATTTATTATTACAAAGTATTTAGGATAATAAAGAAATGCAGGTTAGTAGTTAGTCATCTATTATGATCAAGCTTGTACTCAGGTTAGATATATTTTCAAAAACAAATAGAGATATTTTATATAAACAGGTGGTCTTCCAAACCTTGGAAATCTACAAAATATGTCACTTAACATATTTTAATAACATAAGGTTCTTTTTTTAAGACAATGAGACATGTCTGTTCCTGGGAGCACCAATTTACTTCAGAGAAGATGATAGGCATCAAAGAAAATCCAAATGGAGTTTACTTTCTATGTGGTAAAAGTTAGCCACTGGGCAAGAAACTGCTCTTGCCTTGACTGCTGACAGCAGGCTGTCCGAATTGGACAATCCGGGTACAAAAGAAAGTGACTGCCGAACTCTGACAAGAAAAGGTGGGAAAGTCTTTCAAAAATCCTGCTTCACATAAATTTCTGTCATGTATACCTGTAGGCCAGGTATGGATGCCCCAAGGTTGCAGAAGAACCTTCGGTGAATTCCAGGCAGTCAGCTGTTTCTGTCCTTTCCTAGTTTGCTTTGCACTTTTTTTTTAACCCAGGTAATATATCCTTTTCAGGTTTCTGATGGAGTTAAGAACAGATAGCTATGATTATTTTCCTTGTCAACAAATTCAGAAAAGAAACTCACAAAAAAGTGTAAAGTGTGAAAAAAGGTTGAGAGATATAAAAAGAGACTTTTGCGTTGGTACTGCAAGTTAGGAAAGAAAGTGAATTAAGTACAACAGTTTGGACTCAACAAGATAAAATGGAGTATTTTCTCTGAATTTGTCAAATGCTATGGATTAGACACTGCTAATGTAATTATTGCCTATATATATTTGTATATAGTTATTGTACATATTGTATATTGTTTTTCCATTAATTACAACCTTTGTTTTTTATTTATATAAAAAGGGGGAAATGAGTGATAATTTGATTGTGTTCTAGCAAATAAAGCTTGCTTGGAGTCAGAGGGCAGAACTAGCTAGGTTTGGAGGACTGAGAGAGAGGAGACAGGACATGGCAAGGCAGGGCTGAGAGAGGAGTCCTTGTCCTTTTTGGACAGAGGAACAAGCTGCTACTGATTCTCTGATCTTTCAGGTTCTTACTCCAATATTTGACTCCTGATTTTGTATTGATTAATAATTAGATTAACATCTCATTCTGGCACAAAGTGTACCAGATAAGGACAGCCACTGAGGATCATGTGTAACTTAAAGAGGAAGCTGCTCAACCAGTATGAGAGTCAGCTATGTCAAATGGTTTGGAAGAGGAAATCCGCTTATCTCTAGGACAGTCACCTCAGGGCTTCAAATTCATTCATCTCCGGTAGTCAGTGAGGTTTGCAAAAATATAAGTAACAGCCGGAGAGATGAATGACTTATCAATTAAGAGCATGTATTACTTTTGCAAGGAACTGAGTTTGTTTCCCATTGGCCACATCAGGCAGTTCACAACCATCTATAACTCAGCTAAAGGTGATACAACACCCTCTCTTGACTCTGTGAACACTGTACACAGCTAAAATTATTTGTATAGCTATGCTTTTCTTCGGTCCAATTGTTGTGCAAACAATCTCCCTCCCAACCACAGGCCCTTTGGACTTGCTAGTTCATCTATCTGGAAAACTGGTGTGTCTAGTTTTCCTCCTTACCTTCTTCATCTCTACAGATATGCCTCTTAGGAAGATTTTGCCTAATGGCATAATCTAAAGAAGATCCCCAAACTGACTGACACTATCTATCCCAGTCCCTTCAAAGACCTTATTGCCACTATAATATTACTAAATTATTTATGGATATCTATACTCCTGATCCTGGGTCACACACTCCAAACTTAAAACAACACCACAACAAGGATTCTGTCTTAATCAGTTTGCTATGGAGCCTGGGTATGAATTTGTCTCAAAAGCTCTCACTGTGACTCAATTATCCTTTGTCATGGTTAAGAACCTGCCTACCAGACTGTAATTGAGAAAGGGCTACCATAACAGCAGTGCCACTGGGAAATGCCCAGTGAAGGACTTTTACATCAGGACACAAGTGAGGAAGAGAAATGAGCCATGTTTTGCTGCCTCCACATTGGCAGTTTGAATAAGAATGGTGCCCACAGTCTCACACATTTAAATGATTAGTCATCAGGGAGTGGCACTTGTGTTAGGAAGACTAGGAGGTATGGCCTTGGTGAATGAAGTGTGCTGCTGGGTATGGGCTTTGAGGTTTAAAAAGTTCATGCCAAGCCCAGCATTTCTCTCACTCTGTCTTCCTTTCAGCAGATCAGGATGCAAGTTCTCAATCCCATGCCTACATTCCTGCCACCATGATATTCATAGATCAATCCTCTGAAACTGTAAGTAAGCCCTCAATTAAATACTTTCTTTTGAAATAGTTTCTTTAATAATGATGTCTCTTCACAGCAGCAATAGAGCAGTAACTAAGCTCCAGTGTGTAGCCTTTTCAGCAGGGCTTTACTCCTGATGAACGAATTCTTATTATTATCCTCAAGCAACACAAAGAGGAAACCCCTGCTGTGCAGTACTAGGGAGATGATTTAGATTTAACCCAACTTGACATTCCAAGACTAGGAGACCATCGCTTATCTTCCATTTTTCCATGGGGCAAAGAATATCAGTTATGGGGACTGTGTGGTGGGTGACATCATTGATCATACCTGTCCATGGAGAGCTGAGCTACCAGGGTAACGTCTGTATTGTCAGCAGCAGGCTCGAACTCATAGTGCAGGAAGTACAGGTGGGTTCGGTGAACAGTGAAGCGTTCTCGCCGGAATTCATAGCACAGGTCATCCTCATCCAGCTCTGCCAGCTGCTTCTGAAGCTTCAAAGGAAGAAAAAGGTTTGGAGAGAGGAGGAAATAAACCAACTGACCCAGGAGCCTGCCTGCAGTTGTCTGTCCTTCCTGTGTTGGTAGTTTAACAAAAAAAAAAAGACTCCTATTTTATTTCCTGAGCCATTATTCTAACTTCAAAGGGTGATCACAAAGGCAGGTACTTTCTCCATATGAGAGATGAGCCCCCTTGTGACCAAGAGAGACAGCAATGCTCACTGACAAATAGAGTCCACACAAAATCCTCACAAATAAAACAGAGGGTTTTCTGGGGCAAGTCAGTCAAATGGTGATCTAGTTTCAACCAACCCAAAGAAGATACTTCTAGATGAAGAAATCCCATATGTGAAGGTTTCTGAGTGACCTGATGCTTTTGTCTTCCTGGAACGATACACGTCAATCTTTGGGTCAGGTATAGGAGAGAAGAATCAAGCAAATGCATTAATGACACAAAACTCTTTCTATTTATTATTTTAAATTAAATTTAATCAGGATAACCTCTTTCTTTTTTACTTTTCCTAATGAAAGTCTGTCTTCATTAGTAGAATAGTATCTTTAGTTTTACTCCTTTCTCCTAGCTCACCTAACATGCTAACAAGGAACTCAGACTTTACATGGCTACAAATACCCAACCTACTATATCCCCTTTCTGGTAAACCCCACAGTATCACTACCATGCAAATGATGGTGTCTGCTTAACAGAATGAACAGCTGAAATCTCAGAGTACCTGACAAAAAGTATTTATGTCCTGGCAACACACTAACTATAGCAGTATAAAGGGATCAGGATATGTGGGCAGAGTGAGGTAAGTGGCTTGGCAGAAGACAAAAGAGTTTCTGGGAACCATCCAGGATGTGGCTGAGCAAATGCATCAAGAGTTTTTCCACAGTGAATTCTCTTCCAATTCATTTGAATCTCTGCTTACACTAATGATGAGAAGGAATCCAGCTGTTCTCAGGGCAAGAACACACTGCCAATCTATTGCCACAATACATCCAGATGGGGGAACTGAACACACAAATATCAAGACCAAAAAATATTTGAAATATTTGATCCATTATATGGGTGCCTGGAGCAGGCCTCTATACCATCTCGTGATTGAACTGAGTGCCATGCAAAATGTCCCAGAAAGTATACTTTCAAAAGCCAATGCTATTGAAGAAAACAACAGAGAACTCCTGGATGACCTTAGGTGGATACTCACCAAGGCATTTCCTACAGCAAAGATAAAGGAAAAAGATCCTGTCTAGGAATATCTTCCATCCATGAAATCAAATGACAAACTGAATAAATTTTTGGCAGTGTTTAACCTTTCCTACTGCCTACGCACAGATATATTCTACACTGTAAGTCATGTGAGAACATTGAAGTGTCAAATAACTGGGAAAGATTGCTAAGTGCTCATCTACCCTGTCTGCTTTGAAGATGGTCCATAACAGCCCACTGTCAAGAGGTTTCTTTTAATGTTATACCTTACGAATGCACGTGTGCATATAATGGGCCACTTTTTGAAAAATAAAAATATTCTCCAATTAAAAAAAAAGAGTTTCTGGGGAAAAGGGAATGACCTACATCATCACTGTGATGTGTGATGTTTACCTGAGTACACACATTTGTGAATGCTCTGCAAGCTTTGGGCAGAGAAGACTCAGTACATGCAGTTTGTATTTCAATAAAATTAAACTTAAAAAATAATAATTTTCCAAGGATTGCACAAATGATTCTGATTTTTGTCCTGTTACCTCAGCCTTCTCTATCACATAATATCAGATATTTGAATATAGATTAAAGTTTACATGGCTGGACTTACTAGCCTGTCTGAAAGCAATAGACTGGTTTTCAAAAAAAATGTGTCTTTTTTAAATCTCAAAACTGATAGCATAATTTACAAGAAAGCACATTAACCTGCTTCTCTCAGTTCCCCTCCACCACTGAAGACCACTGGGCCTCTGTAGTATTTCTCAAGAGAGTAGCTGTGGCACACATGCCCCTGGAAAGTAAAAGATATCATTACTCCTTTGCTCCTTCCTCTCTGCATCATGGCTTCACTCTGTACAGTGTACTAAAGCCGTGAGTCTGTTTCTCTGTCCTTGAAATCTAGGCTGAACTTGGGAAAGTCTTTTGTTGCTAGAATTCAAGGGAGGTCATATCCTTCCCTGATGAGGCTAGACTCCAAGAAGCAACAACGTGTGGTTCAGTACCACAGCCAAGAGACAATGCTCAGGCTAGCCGGATAGGAGAGGACAGACACCTATGACCAGTATACTTTCCTTAGTTGCCTAGAAAATGTAAGCAAACCCAGCTAAATTTAGCAAGTTGTTCTAATAAACACTTCTTGTAGAACTCTGAGCTACAGGTTGTGAACAATAGGTAACAGATAATATGGTATTAGCACTTAATGTGAGGCATGTTTCATTATGAGGCCTGATAAATCAAAGGAAAGTTTCAGCTCCTCAGCCCTGATTGCTAATAGCTCATAGTTCACCAGATGGTTTTATATAGCCCAGATGTGGCCACACCTTTTCAAATGCTCAGCTGATTATCTGAGATCTAGCGGTCTGAGACACTTCTGGTCACCTAACCAACATAATACCAGGAGGAGGAATAGAATCCTCACTCTACCAACGATTCCGTGTACCACAGGACTCCTTCTGATGTACACAATTAGACCTGAAGATCTCTGGAGACAAGCAAAGAAACCTCTCTGCAGGCTCTCCATTAGTGCTTCTCAGACTTGGTTTTCTCTCTGCCTTTCTGTGACTTCCTTGGGCATCACATTTTTGGCAAAGCCCTACCTCACTGGACTCTTTTTCCACCCCCCTCTATCTTACTTTTGAGATGGCTTAGATGTTCATTTTCTGTGAGACCACTACAGGCCCTTCCAGGACAGCTGTTCCATTTCTTCTTTAGACTTGAAAGAGTTGATCCCAAACTCCATTAGGCACTTGTCAATTTGAACAGAATTATTTAAAGACATCCATTACAAGATGGTTCCCCACATTATGCCTAGTGCATAACAGAATGCCCAATAGCTACATGTTGCAGGAATGAAAAAGATTTGGTAAGCACAAGATGAACATCATCTCTGTGCTGGCCTGCCCTTCAATTTTCCTTTGCTTCCTCTAATTTTATTCATATAAAGTAATAAATAGTTAAGCCTATTATTTTCACTATTTGCATTCAAGGGTCTTTGATGGCAGATCAAGTTTTAGGGAGCAAGCAGATGCATAGCATGTGCTTATCTGCACAGGTGCTTATCACCTTCTGAACACTCTGAGGGAGATCCTTGTAAACCTCACCTAACAGCTGAGGAAGTAGCTTCAAATTCCTAAGGTCCTTTAGACAGGTCACACCTAGGTCCATGTGTACCTATCACTCTCTAGGAAAGATGCTAATTTGGTCTCAGGTAAAGATTCTGACAGAATGCAGACACTAAGATCGCAGGTTGGATCCCTCCTCCCCTACCCCTTAGGTGAGTGGGTGGCTTCTTTATAACTTTTCTGAAGTCTGATTTCCTCAAGTATAAGGGGAAACAGTAAATATCCCCTACATCCACACAATGGAGTGAGGGCTTGGACTGAGGGGTGATTCATTCAACATCACCTGTTAACACCATTAGGAAAGAAGGTAAGCTCCTGAAGACAACTTTGGGCAAGGGCTTAGGCTAGGGAGAAGGTTCAGAGGTTAGATGAGCCAGGGTGTCTGCCATCCTGATTTTATGTATGTGTGTTTGTGTTTGTGTGTGCATGCACATGTAGAAGATAGCCTCGGGAGCAATTAACCTGGAATTTTGAGGTCGGGTCTCTCACTGGGATGTGGTGTTTGCTGATTTTGCTAAGCAGGTCAACAAGTAAGCTACTGGCCTGTTTCTGACTTCTTAGCACTGGCATTAAAAGAGTATGTCACACACCTGGCTTTTTACATGGCTATTGAATCAAACTCATCATGCTTGTATTGCAAGCACCCTAAGGGTTAAATCATGTAACAACTCTTTCTGTCCCACCAGCCCCCAAGAAATGACAGAGACTAATTATTAATTATGAAAGTGTGGACTTAGCTTAGGCTTGTCCGTCTAGCTCTTATAATTTAAATTAAACTGCTTTTATTAATCTATGTTGTACCATGTGGTTTCTTACCTTTCATTCTACAAGTACAGCTCCCTCCATGTCTCAGTGGTGTCTTCTCTGTGCCTTGATTATCTCCTACTTTCTCTCTCTCTTCCACACTGTAGTTGAACAATTTCCCGTTCAGAAAAGAAACATTTGCAAACTCCTTGAAGGAATAGGATTGGCTTTGTCTCTCCTTGGTTTTGCTTTGTGGCTTTAATATACTGAAAAAGGCACATGGCTTCTGCTTTTGTGGAGGGAAGGGAAAAGTATGTATGGATGTTTGTATGTGAGCTTTCGAGACTCACATCTTTCTTTGATGAGTTTTCCAACAAGTATCTTAATTTATGTGGCAAGGATATAACTGAAAACTCAGTGATATGTATGGGGGTTTTACTTCTCTTTACATGGACCAGTGGAAAAGAACTTATCAAGATAATGGCTCTAGGAAATACTTTCTAAATCACCCATAGAATGAATTTTAAAGGCAAGAGCTATTCATTCAAATTAGAACCCCTAAACCCAGGATACCCCAAGCACCTTAAAAGCTATATAAGCCTCTGTTGGTATCAATTACTTCATGCCAAGAAAGGGAGTGACCATCAAGGAAAATGACTCCAGAACTACCAAGGTGTAGCTTGCTCTAACAGAGAGGGCTGGGATGCAGTTCTGGAGCACCTGTGTTCTCCTTTAAGGAAATTCATGGTATCAGTGGTGTGTGATTCATACAAACCCCACTCCCACAGATGACCATCAGTGTGATGGCCTAGGAGGTATGATTGTCTGGATACCACAGAGATGTGCCAAGACAGATCTGCCTGTGAGACTTCAGGGTACCCAGACGCCAGCTACATGTTCGTAGTACCTTTTACTATCACCACCAT